AGAAAGTAGGAAAAGCCACTGGGCTAGTCAGGTATAATCTAAACCAAATCCCTTATGAATACAGAGTGGAAGTGAAGAACAGATTTAAGGACCGCCTTTTCTCTTCCAGGACTATGACCTCTGCATCAACTGCTACAACACCAAGAGCCATGAACACAAGATGGTCAAGTGGGGGCTGGGCCTGGACGATGACAGCCACAGCCAAGGGGAGCAGCAGTCCAAGAGCCCCCAGGAGTCTCGCCGCCTCAGCATCCAGCGCTGCATCCAGTCGTTGGTCCACGCCTGCCAGTGCCGCAACGCCAACTGCTCGCTGCCCTCCTGCCAGAAGATGAAGCGGGTGGTCCAGCACACCAAGGGCTGCAAGCGCAAGACCAACGGGGGCTGCCCAGTCTGCAAGCAGCTGATCGCGCTGTGCTGCTACCATGCCAAGCACTGCCAGGAGAACAAGTGCCCGGTGCCCTTCTGCCTCAACATCAAACACAAGCTTCGCCAGCAGCAGATCCAGCACCGGCTGCAGCAGGCGCAGCTGATGCGCCGCAGGATGGCCACCATGACCACCCGCAACGTGCCTCAGCAGAGCTTGCCGTCTCCTACCTCAGCAACCCCCGGGACACCAACGCAGCCGCCGCAGCCGCCACAGCAGCAGCCCAGCACCCCGCAGACCCCCCAGCTGCCCCCCCAGCCGCCTCCGGTCAGCATGTCCCCTGCCGGCTTCCCCAGCGGAGCAAGGACTCAAGCACCTCCCCCCATGTCAGCTGGGAAGCCCACCCCCCAAGTGGTTGCTCCCCCGCCGCCCACTCAACCTCCTCCAGGAGCCGTGGAAGCCGCCCGGCAGATTGAGATCGAGGCAGCCCAGCAGCAGCAGCAGCAACAGCAGCAGCAGCTCTACAGAGTCAGCAGCAATGGCCTGCCCCCAGGGAGAGCAGGCATGGCAAGCCCAGCCGTGGGCACTGTGAACCCTCTGCCACAGGTGGGCATGAATGTACCTCGGGCAAACTCTGTGAGCGGCCCAGTGATGGCCAGCATGCCACCCGGGCAGTGGCCGCCAGCCCCAGTCGCCCAGCCGCCGTCCCTGCAGCCTGGGATGCCTCGGCCGTCCCTGCCCATGGCGGCGCAGCAGGCGGCAGCCGGCCCCCGCATGCCCGGGGCCCAGCCGCCGGCCCGCAGCATCCCACCCAACGCCTTGCAGGAGCTTCTGCGGACCTTGAAATCCCCGAGCTCCCCTCAGCAGCAGCAGCAGGTGCTCAACATCCTGAAGTCCAACCCTCAGCTCATGGCAGCTTTCATCAAGCAGAGAACAGCCAAATACGTAGCAAACCAGCCGGGCCTGCAGCCGCCCCAGCCCACGCCCCAGCCCACACCCCAGCCGCCCCCTCCGGCCGGAATCCACACCCCCTCCGGCCTGCAGGGCCTGAGCGCCATGCAGGCGGGCGGGCAGCGGGTCGGTGTCCCTCCTCCCCAGCCATCAGGGGTGGGCAGCTTGAATGCCCAGGGCCAGTCCCTCGGTCTCATGAACCCAGCCCACAGCCCTGGCATGGCCAGCATGAGCCCCCAGTACAGGGAGATCCTGAGAAGGCAGCGGCTTCAGCAGCAGCAGCAGCAACAACAGCAACAGCAACAACAGCAAGGCGGCGCTGCAATGGCAGCTCACAATCAGTTCCAGCAGCCTCCGGGCCCTGCAGGCTATTCGCAGGCCCTGCAGCAGCCGCAGCCGCCGCCACCACCGCAGCACCTCTCCCTCCCAGCAGGGGCCCTGGGCCAGATGGCTCAGATGGGACAGCTGAACTCCATGGGACAGCCCGGCCTGAGTGCGGATGCCAGCCCCAGTCTCCAGCAGGCTCTGCAGCAGCGAATCCTCCAGCAGCAGCAGCAGCAGCAGCAGATGAAGCAGCAGCAGCAGCAGCAGCAGCAGATGGGCTCCCCAGGCCAGCCCAATCCTATGAGCCCCCAGCAGCACCTGCTCTCAGGACAGCCCCCCACGCCACACCTCCCTGGTCCCCCCCAGATCAGCGCCTCCCTCAGCAGCCAGGTGCGGTCGCCGGCGCCCGTCCAGTCTCCCCGGCCCCAGTCCCAGCCTCCGCATTCCAGCCCCTCGCCCAGGATACAGCCCCAGCCCTCCCCGCACCACGCCTCCCCCCAGACCGGCTCCCCCCATCCTGTGCTCGCCGTTACCCTGGCCAGTGGTACCCTGGAGCCGCCGGGACACCTGGTCCCCCCAGAGCAGAGTGCAATGCTTCCCCAGCTCAACCCCCCCAACCGGAACGTGCTCCCAAACGAGCTCTCTCTGGTTGGCGACACGACCGGGGGGGACACCTTGGAAAAGTTTGTGGAGGGCTTGTAGCCATCCTGGAAGCCTCCCTTCGTGTCACCCTGGACCTTTTGTACTGAAACACAGACCTCGCTCTAGTCCAGAAGCCCTCAACGGGACTGCTGCTCTGTGTGTGTGTGTGTGTGTGTCCCACCACCAGGGAAGGAAGAATTGCTGTTTCAAAACAAAACAAAGAATATATATATTTTTTGTTAAAGCCAGCCAGGTGTGGTTAGAATATCTGGTCTTTTTTTGTTGGTCTTGTCGTGTTTTTTTTTTTAAAGTTTCATTGTTACTGTTGACTTTGCTTTTTTAAAGGGGAAAACAAGTCCATTATATTCATATTTTTATTTGTATTTTAAAAACTAAGCATTTGAGTTTAACAGAGAAGAAAAATAATCAGAAACTGTTTCCTGAAATAATGCAACAATCTAATGGATCCCTGCTAACTTTCTGATCTTTGACAGAAAGATTTTCCCCCTGTTCGATACTGACCTCTGCAGGTATCTGAAGTATTATTGTCCTTGGGAAAAATAGGAACTGACGCTTGCACACACAAACAGGTTGCAGGTGTAGAAACCGTTGCTTTGTTTCTCTGAGAAACCTGGTTTAAGATTTACAAAAAACAGGAAAAGAAAAAAGGAAAGAAAAATATGGACAATAACTTCCTAGGCCATGCTTATTTTAACAGGGAAGAAGCATATTCTTTTCTTTTAATTCTTGATGTGAAACTTGAAATGAGGATAAGCAATTATAGTGTAAATCATGCAAGTTCTATAATTACTATAAATATGAAAAATTCAAGATTCAATGACTGTATAGAATGGGGGGGTGAACTCATTTCTTACTTCTATAGCATATTGTTAAATAAACTGTGTGCAACAGACAAAAAGGGTGGTCCTTCTTGAATTCATGTACATGGTATTAACTTGGTGTTCAGACCTTTTTTGTTATGAGAAATGCTGTTTTCAACATTGTATTTGGACTATGCATGTCTTTTTTCCATTGTATATATAGTATTGCTTAAAAGTGATATAAATTACTGAAGTTTTTAATACGTATTCTGTTCTTGAAGTTCCATGTAAAAATGTTTAAGGTTTTTGTTCATGCAGACATACACGAATCATGCTCTTTGCGAGACAAGGCAATTGAATCACTTATTGCTCTGCCTGGCTAGAGGTACTTTGTAGGTAGATAGGCCTACTGGTTTGCATGAAAAGGTACGGCAGGGTTACAGGTCTCCCATTTATTTAATATTTGGCGGTAGTCTTTCAAAGAGTAAGTGAAAAAACTTACTATTGCTTTCTTTAAAAATATACACATTAGAAGAGAATCGAACATGAAACATGATACTTGCTTAAACAAAATTCAAAGGCAGGGCCCTCTTCCAATTCTTCTTGGAGGCTCAGTAAGCTAGGAATCCCCTAAGCCAGGGGTTGGTGACCCTTTGGTACTTCAAAGTTTTGGACTACAATTACCAGAATCCCCAGTCTTATGTTGCCAGAGATGTTACTATGGAAGTTGTGGTCTTAAAACATCTGGAGTTCCAAAGGTTTGCCACCCTTGGCTGGCTTCGCTTCAGTTTCCCACAAGCCAGTATCTGCCAGATGTGGGCATCACTTGGATTAATCACACTCCAGCATCTCTGGACAACCATATGGCTGGGCAATGCGGCTTCAGTCATAACCGTCATGGGCACCATTTGTGTGACAACTAAACTGTTCCCCTTTTTGCTAAGAAAAACGCCGATGCCTGCTTCCACACAGCAGCCCCCTTGATGCTGCAGCTCTTGATTAAACTAGGTGTGATGTTGGTCTCTACTGTATTTATTTACATCCGTGTGTTGAGACTTTTCTGCTATTATGCCAAAAAAAGCACGTTGCAAGGTTTCCAGGGAAAGCATTTATGTGGCTAGCTGGACAAGACATTTCAGATACGCACAACACAATGTGTGGTCCAAGAGAGAACCAGAATACAGAGTACATTACAGTGGGGTCTCTACTTAAGAACGTCTCTACTTAAGAACAATCCAACTTAAGAACAGCTCCATTTGCTAAATTTTGCTTCTGCTTGAGAACAGAAATCCAAGATAAGAACAGGAAAAAAAACCTTTCCTGCTCTTTTTTTAACCTTAGGTCATCTTAAGTTAAAAAAAATTCTCCCCCTAGTGGTAGAGTACGTATTAACCAGCTTTGCATTAGTTCCTCTGGGAACTAATGCTTCAATGTACGAACGCACCTCTACATAACAAAAAACAAAGCCAGAACGGATTAATAGGTTTTCAGTCCATTCCTATGGGAAATTTTGCTTCAACTTAAGAACGTTTCAACTTAAGAACACCATTCCAAAAGGGATTAAGTTCTTAAGTAGAGGTTCCACTGTAGTTTCTATGGACGGAAAAGAGCAGATATAGATTAAATGGTTTTCAATGCATTCCTATGAGAAATGCAGATTCAACATAAGAACTTTTCAACTTGAGAACCACCTTCCAATACGGATTAAGTTCTTAAGTAGAGACCCCACTGTATATAGAAGGTACCTGAAAAGGGTCAGAACCTAATTTGAATTGGTATTTCTAAGTACTGGATTTCCTGAGTTTTGTTTTACTGTTTTTTTGGTACCTTTGCTGAAAGTAGGGAAGGAATGTACTTTTACATACACCAGAGGGCCAGGAAATATGGCTGCATCATCTGCCACCTGACAGACGTACAAACTAAACCTGTACGCAGGAGTTGCAGCAGTCCTGGCTGCAGCTTTTGCGAAGGCACCTTACTCACGGCCTCGCTCTTGTCCTGGATGATGTTAGTGGCATTAAGGCAAGATTAGAAACCATAACTGTCAAATGCCCTTGGACTGTCACCTCCACTACCCCCGCTAGCACTGCCAATAATGAGGGTGCTGGAAATTACAGTCCATACCTCAAACGGGCCACATGTCCATTATGACATCAAAGGGAAAAAAGGATAGGGAGGGGGACAGGAAGGCAAAACGGGAAAGACAACATTCAACCTCGGATTGAAAACGAGCCTTTGCCTGCCCAAGAAGCATGGCTTTTTTGGAAAGAGGAAAGTTTAGGTGAGTCTGGGCCAGGCGGCAGGAGTGGGCCTCTCGTGCAAGGGATGAGATTCCATTTCACAGACGATCCACAGTGCCCCAGTATATCTGCCTCTGAGTGGATTCCACACCATACCCCATTATTAGCATGTACAGAACCTGCTACCCCCTCCCCTTACATATGCACCCCCTCTGTTCCGCCATGCCTCGCGCTGGCTTGGTGCAACAGTGCCCCACTGGAGCCTGCTCGCTCTCTTCCCCTCAAACATGCATGTTGCAGGCCTCACTTGTTAACATAGCAAAATCCTTTTATTACATACAGGCATGGCAAAACCACCTGAATAAAACTGCAGTATTAAACTGCATGAGAGAGACCTGCAAGTTCTACAAAAGTCCTGCAAGGCCACAAGTGAACAACTCAAATCTGGTCTAGTGGAACTCGTGGTGGCAGGAGGGAGCCACAGCACATGAGAACTCCTTCCACCCAAGCTTCCCTTGTTGAACACCCCCCCCCCAAAAAAAAAGGTTTCCAAGAGAAGTCTGGCAGCAGGGGAAGGGGCCATTCCCTCAAGAGAAACAAGAAGCGCAGAAGACAGCAACACTCAGGCAGAGCCCAACACCACCAGCTGCTCAGGGGCTCTGGGGAAAGGTTGCAGTCAAGGGAAAAGTTGCTGTCTTTGGGGGTGGGGGGTGGGGCACTTCTCATGCCACCTCCTGTCAGCAGCTCTGCCGTGAAGTCTCATTCGGTCCCACAAAAGCACCTCAGCAGCGTCGCCTCCCCTTTTGGGGGGTTCTTTTCTCTTTCCGAGCTTCTGCCGTGGTAAAAGTGATGCACTGAGTGTCCAGGAAGTCCAGCAGCTTGCCCAGAGCAATCCGGATGCCCTGCTCCTTCAGCTTTGCCTGCAACCCAGCCAGCTCAATGGGTTGGTACAGCAAGATCTGGCGGCCAAGAGCAGGGGTGGCGTGAAGGTAGCGCTGCAGGGCCTCCAGTTTGTCTGTCTCGAGGCCCGAGGAAGCCTGAGAGGCTGGGAGGTGCTCTGCTTCTTCAGCCTCTCTCACTGCCCCCAGGGCGCTGTGGGCCTCACACACAAACGAAGAAGACCTAGGGGGACAAAAAATTTTAATGTGAGCTTTTCTGCACAAGTCCAGTTCTTCTGACATTTGAGGAAGTGGACTTGTCCACCAAAGTGCACATTAAAATATAGCCGTTACTCTCTTCTTTATTTTGTATTTTTCTTTCATTTTGACACCTGATATGCTTGCACAGACTAACACAGCGAACTCTTCTAAAAACAGAACATAAAAACAAATCTTTACGCAGGATGACAAGGCTTTGTGGTCCCTTCTCTAGCCCAGCACCACAAAGCAAAAACAACACAAAACCCAGTTGCTCGTAGGCCCTGCACAAAACAACTAACATCCACACCTCTCCGAGCAACTTCTTTTGTCTCCAAGCCCTGCTGCTTTCTCAAGCAAGCGCCCTCCGTGGCCTGCTTCTGTTCTAGGCCAAAGATTCCAAGCTGCCAGCCAAGAGACGCCTGGAACATCTGTGGGCGGTGGCTGCAGAATATGTGGGGAGGGTGGAATTTCAGAGCTCTTTCTCAAAAGGAACAGGAATTAGTAAACCTCACAGAGAAAGCGACAGTTTCAGCCCTCTTCTTTAATTGATGGGTTTCCCTACGGGCTTTCTTCTGGGTGCCCCTATGCTTTTAAGCATGTACTTCAGATGTTTAAAAAAATCATCTGAAATGTCCAGTTCTGACCTCTTCTCTGTGCTGAGGATACCATTTGCTCATACTGAACAGATACTGAAGGGACATCAGATGCCATGCATCACTGGCTATCTAACGTGCAGGATGTTGTGGGCTCAGTTTGGGGGTGCAGAGAGCAGGTGGTTGGCCAACAAACATTTTTAACAAAGCAAAAATTAACTATAAACAAGAAACCACTTCTTATTTAGACAACAGCTGCTGCCTTCCGCAAGACAGGCTCTTTGGATTGTCTGAGCCCACTGCTCCCCAGACTTGACAGAAGAAAACCCATGAACCAAGGGAAGGAGAACCATCACCCGCCCCCCACTGCCCACCATACCTCTCCGAAGCCACAGACCTCTTGCTGTCCCTTGCCAGGGAACTGGTTGGGCCTTGAGACACTGCGAGAGATGTCCGGCTATTCTCAGGGGCGCTTCCAAGGCGAAGCCCCGCTGCAGAAAAAGACTGTGCATCTGGCCCAACCTGCAAACGGCACCGGCCTGGCCTGGCCTGGCCTCCAGGACTTGGATCCCGAAGATGGAGCAGGCCCCCTTGGGGCAAGTGAGAAGGCTGGACGGATCCAGCTGCCTGCTTGGGAAGAGCCCGGGGTGGAGCTCTCGGGGACAGGGCCTGTGGGGAGCAAGAGGCAGCCTCTTCCTTGGCGTCCAATCCCACTTGCTGGTGAGTAAACTGGAAGATTTCTTTCAGCTTCAGCACCATCTGCCGCTTGGGAAGCGCTCGGACTCCAAACCTAGGAGGAGAACAGGCGGGAGAGATTGCAGCACGCGCAGGCACACGCAAGGGCCGCCTCCCGTCTCTGGCCCATCAGCGCCTGGCTGTTGCACCACCAACCTTCTCAACTCCTTCTTCAGCTCCGGGGTCACCATGGTGGAGTAAGAGGGCATTGGCGTTTGTGGGGTCGCCGTGCCCGGCCTCTCCCTGGCCTCGCAAACAGGACCTGTGGTGGAAACAAGGGAAGGGGCGGCCCCTTGAGTCTCCAGGGGGTCATTCAGGCAGCCCCCACCCGTTGCCCATCCGCTCCAGCCAAGGGCCCAAAGAGCGGCTTGCAAGGCCCACATGGCGGTGCGGAAGGTGCAGGGGCCAAGAGCACAGGCCTCCTTGCCCAGCTACTGCCAAGCCCAACCTGCGTTGAAGAATTTCCAGCCAAGTTACAAAACAGATCAGCTGCAGGAGAAGAGAGGGAAGCCCCCTGCACCCCCACCCGCCACTCCCCCACCCCTGCTGAGAGCAGGGACACCGACTTACCCTGAGCCCTCGGAGGGGTCCCTGCTGGGGGCACTCTCTGGGCCAGCGGGAGGACATCACTGCTGTCAGAGTCTTCGCCCGCCCACTCTCGGGCTTCCTCCTCCGATGAATCGGTCCGGCAGGTGAAGGGGCTCCTCTCCAACAGGGGGCTGCCCCCTCTCGCCTCTGAAGCCACCAAGGGCATCCCCAGCCCATCCCTGCCATCAGCGGCACACGTGGGCTCTGTAGAGAGCGAGGAGGCCTCTCCCAGGGAAAGGGCAGCGGCTGGCCGAGCCTCCGCCGCCTCCTCTTCGCTGTCCTCCAGAATGACCACGGCTGCCTCCTCCACCTTCTGGGCTCCACGCGAAGCAGGGTGGTTGAGGCGGTGGTGGCGGCTGCCGCCAGGATTCCCACTTGCAGGCCAGCAGGAGGGCAAGGCAGACCGGGGGGAACAGACCTCCTTCGCAGGCGGCCTCAGTGGAGACGGGCTGCGGTCGAGGGGGCCAGCCTCGTCCCTTGACTTCCAACCACCCCATGCCGCCCATGGACTCCTTATCCCCTGCCCGCATGGCACCGGCGTGTCTGGAACCAGCGTCAGTCCTCCCTCCGAGGAAGCGTCCTCTTCATCACTGCTCCGCCCCTGGCCAGCAGGCCTCGTTCCCAGGGACCCTCCAGTCACACCAGCGAGGCTGCCCGGCCCCCGGCCCCTGCTGCCCTTCTCAGGGCTCACCCAGTGCAGGGGTGAACAGCTGCCTGCCCCCGGGCACTCCTTGCCGTTCGACATAGGCTCCAGCACCTGACACCGGATGCCTGGATGACCCAAAGGGACACAGCCTATGCACGGCTCCCTGCCTTTCCCCTGCTCTGCCTCTTCTTCTTCCTCCTCCTCCTCCTCAGAATCCAGCACCACCACAACTGGACGGCTATCGGCACCGGTGGAAAGAGTCCCTGGCCCACCCGGGGGGTGATCCAAGCGACTGACGGGGGCCTCCCTCCCCAGGGGCTCCTGGCTGCCTCTGCTCTGAGAGGAGGAGCACCTCCCAGCCACGGTGGGCTGGGAGGCAGCTGGGAGGTGGACAGGGGCTCCTGGAAGCCCTCTGGCGTCGGCTGTTTTTGGTGGGGGAGAGGAAGAGGGGGGGCCTCGGTCTTGGGCAGGAAAAGCCTCCCCGTGTAGCTGACTAGCGCCATCGCCGGACAACATCTTCCACACCCGCCGGAGGCCAGGAGGCCGTCCCACTGTGGCACCTTCGCTGCCCACGTCAGGGCTCGGCTCCTGAGCCCTCCGCCTTTGCGGGGACCGTGTGGCGCAGCCCTCCCGCACGAGGAGGCAGTCCTCCTCCTCCTCCTTGGAAGCCTCAGCGGCTCCTCTGGAGAGTCCCCTCCCCTCCCGGGCCTCTTCCTGCAACTCAAGGCAAAGGGACCTTCTCGGCCCCACCTCCTCCTCCCTAGAGGGGCCCAGTCTGGCTCCCCCTTCCCCTCCTAGGGAGCTCTTCAGGCCACGCTGGGCCTCACGACGGCCTCTCCCCTCCTCTGCCTGGCGTTCCGCCAGTCGATGTTGGGTGGCAGCAAATTGATAGATTTCCTCCAAGTCCTGCTCACTCATGTTTTCACTGCCTGCTTCCTCTGGGCGGCCCCCTCTCAGCTGAGCCTCTTTGTCTCCTTCCGGCCACATGGATTCCAAGAGCTCTTCGAGGATCTCCTCCCTGCCTTCCTCGCTGCCAGCTCCATCTTCCTTCTCTTCTCCAGACACCGGTGAACCCAGCTGGTCCCTTCCACACAGAGCAGCGAGCTCCCTCACGCCAAACCTGCAGGGACAAAGCCAGAATGCTCCGACTCTTCCAGAACTAGTGGGAAAAAGCCAAGGAGCCCCCGCCCCTGCCCCTCACCAAGGCTTCGTCCAAGCTGAAGCGTGGCAGGGTCTGGGCAGGCGGCAGGATCAGCTCGCCAGAAAACATCCCAAAGGAGTTGCACAGGCACAGACCTGTCGGCCAAGGCGCCCACGTCCGACAGGACCCGGCGAGGGATGACGGAGTCGGCCGTGTAAAGGTAGCTCAAGAACACCTGCACGGCCTCCCGAGGCACATCGCTCAGCAGCATCCGGCGGGTCCACATGCCGCCTTCTTCAGCCACTCTGAATCCCATGCAGTCCACCTGGTGGTGAAAGGGAAGGAGAAGCAAGTCCCTCCTCTGAGAGCCACCCCAGCACATGCCCTCCACCCGTCAAGGAAAGCTAGCCATCTCTTCACTGTGGCACGTCAGGTGGTGGGTTCCACGCAGGCTGGTGGTCACTAAAGAAAGCCGGCCCACCCTAACAATCCCCCAAGGACCAACACATGCCTCACAACCTCAAGAGCATTTCCTCCATCCTGCACCCTAAGACCCCATCACGGACAGCAACTTTCCCTCGACCAACACATGCCTCACAACCTCAAGAGCCATTTCCTCCATCCCAGAAGGAAAAAACCACCCTCCACCCCCTGCATCTCCCCAGCAACTGCACCCTAAGACCCCATCACGGACAGCGACTTTCTCTCTGCCCCCAACACACACACACACACACACAGAGTCTCTTGTGCTCCAAAAGCCAGCCAGCCAGCCAGCCAGCCAGCCAGCCAGCCACACACACACACACACACACACACACACACACACTCTTCTCCAGGCCACCTTCTTTGCCACATCCTCCGTTCTCATCCGTCCTGCTCCATCCTGCCCTTCTGACGTTCCTTTTGGAACCAGGAACTCTTGGCTGTTGGCAAACAGGGAGGCCTCCCAGGACGCTTGGAGGAGGAGGGGCTCTTGGCCGCTCCCCAACCTAACCCCAAAATGCTTGGGCTGGGGGCAAAGCGGAGCTGTAAAGCTTGGCGGTGGAGGTGGCTGCTGCCCATTTTTCCCAACTCTCTCAGAGAGGTCTACAGGCACACGGCGTTTCTAGGTCTCTTCCTGAAATCTGGGTTAGGTGGAGAAAGAGAAGCCAAGGGCACGGCCCCCTTCCCTTCAGCCCACATAAAACCAAACCGGCCAAGCATCCAGACCCAGAGCAATTAAACAAGCAGGCAGCAGTGAGTGAATGCTGCGCGCCTACATCGGCTTTCCTCATTGTCCATTGCAAACACCCTTCCCTCTTGCTTACCGCTTCCATAAGCAAGGGACAGCGAGCATAAAGGACAAACATGTGAGCGTAGAGGATCTCTCCGCTGTCCACCTGGAACTGGAGGTCACTCAAGTGGGGATTGTTGACCATCTCCCTGAAGGCACTGGTCAATAAATCCAGCAAGACCTAGAGAAAGGAGTGGGGAAAGACAGGAAAGGTAGGATCCTGATCCCTCTCCTCAGCAGACTCCTGAACTTTATAGAGAAGCACAGTAGCAGAAGGAGGGGGGAGGATGGTCTCTGGGCCAACTCAGGAACCCAGCCCCTCACCCAGAAAAAGCCTCTTATGGATCACACCGGGGTGTCAGAAAACCTGGACCAGATACATCCAGGAGAGGGGACATTTTTAAAAGCAGAGGAGGCTGGAACTTCACCAGTCCCTTCTTGGTGTGTTACCACAGGTGATCAGCACCTTGCAAGTAAAACCAGGGTAGAGAATTATGCACCAGTATAGTATTTTCCCATGGCACTGCATCTGAGAAATACTGGATGGAAACGCAAAACTGGATCCACAGAATCACAGAACTGCTAAGCTAGAAAGGGTCATGAGGGTCACCAAGTCAACCCCCAGCAGATGCAGGGATCCGGCAGCCTCTCTGATGGATGGCGACCCCACTACCAATGGAAAACCCACAGCAAAGGAGATTGGACCGCCCTCTTGAAGGCTGGGGCTCCCTTCCCCACTTACTGTTTGGTGATGGCTTCTCAAGGACAGTCTGTTCTCCCCTGGCAAGACAGAACTGGTCTGGAAAGTGTTTGCCATTTCCTCCTCTCGCCCTCAAATTAAGAGAAGTAGCATAAAGAATCTAATCAGTCCCTGTCCCAGAAGCATCCATTCCCCTGACAAGGCCGGCTCACCTGTCCCCTCGCTGGAGCAGGCAGAGAACAGCTAAGGACGTAGTAGGTGTTCTCTATGGAGCAGGCCCTCCCCTTCTGGCCTGAGGCAAGAGACCTCACCTGCCCTCTCCAGCTGCCGAACCTCCAGGCCCCACTGGGTAAGGGTAAGCCCTTCTTCAGCGAGGTCCTCCAAGTCCTGTAGGGCCTGGACATCTAGCGGGTTGGCGGCTTGCTCATCTCTGGGGCCACAGCCTTGACGTTCGCCATCATCTATGCTTTGGAAAGGGCTGGCCTTGGGGGGCGTGGAATCTATCTCCTGCAATCCAACAGGGCCAGGCAAAGTCAAGGAAGTGCCCAGCGCCAGGCTCTGGGGGGAAAAACAAGGAAAGCCACTCAAATCCTAAAATGAAGAGATCAGGAACCCTCGCCAAGGGCTGGAATAACAACGCACCTGTTCCATACTTTACAATGTTTTGTCCAAAACCCAGTACAAAACAGAAGACCACCAGCCTCTTCCTTCTTCAGGGTGCCTCGGCTCTAGCCCCCCCCCAGGGGACAAGGCAGGAACCTCTGTAGAGACCCCTTGGTGTGGTTCCTGGCCTGCCTCTTGCACAGGTGGCCCAAGCCCAGAGATCACACACATACCTGGGTCCCTGGCAGCTGTGAAGGAACAGGAAGATCAAGGCCGGTAGCTGTGAAACTGCCAGGGAGACACGGCCCCGTTAATGAGCTGAACTCCCACAAGGAAGAGCCTGGGCCTCTGGAGGACGCTGGCTGCCCACCTGCCTCTCTGGACCGCTCCCTCTCCAAGAGGCGGCTGGAGGGGAGCTGGGGGGTGCTGGGGAACTCTCCTGCCTCTGAAAGCAACTGCCCCACACGCTCCTCCATGTCTCTGTGCATCTTCTGTGCATCCTGAAGCAGCAGCGGTGGTGGCGAGTCGGGAGGCTTCGCACCATTCTTTTTTTCTGCAGGGAACCAAGAGAACACGTTCCCATCACCACCTCCTGCATCCAGGCAGTTGACCGGTCCTGGACTCAACGGCTGTCCTGCACCCCGAGATGGTCACAGCGCACAGAAGCAGCTAAAGCGCTTTAAAGACCCCACAGGGAAAAGGAGCCGAGGAAGCATCCACAGAGGCCTTGTTCCCAGTGGGCCTGCGAGGCTTGCCTCTCTCATCCCAGCCCAGGAAAAGCCCAGCCCTGAAGAGGAGTCAGAACCTAAGGAACCCCAGAGAAGGCACCAGTGAAAAAGCCCTGCTTCTTGACTGGGTGGCTCAGAGCCAGTTTCCTGACCTCAGGGTATGGGAAGGGCTTCGTCAGCCCCCAGCCCCACAAGCTAGCAAAGACGTACAGGGGGAAGAAATTCAAAATCTGACATTGCCTTCTGTTTCAGACACACCCGAGACAACATTAAAAGAACGGTAACAACAACTCTCTTTAAAAAGGATATCGCTAGGACTCCACTTTTAATTTTTGGGTTGGGGAGGGAAACAGACAGTGGTCTTATTGTAAGACAATGCCTTCTGAAGGCTTCCAGCAATGAAAATTACATTTGTTGCCATATTTTTCCTGCCAAGCTGTCAAAAGGGGACACAAAAGCCACACCGGGGGGGGGGAGGCTACATGTGGCCAGGGAATGCCTTGCACTTTATTTACTCCAGTTTTAAGGAAATTGCAGGTAACAAATGCCACAGGGCCCCACGCCCCCACCTGTGTGGAGCCTCCAAAGTCCACAGAACTAGCCTCCAGTTACCCCTGGCTCGCAGTTTGGCTGCGGCCTTCTCTTTCTCCAGGAGAGAGCGTGACATCGCCATAGCAACCAGCAAGTCCTCATCTGCCCCGTCTATTTTGGGTGCTGTCTTTGGTTTCTTGGCCAAATTCTCGATGGAAGAGGTGACTTTCCGCTTCAGGTGACTGATCACAACAGGAGAGACAAAACAGACACAGTCAAAGTTGCAACACGGAAGAATTGCTCCACTCCATCTTCCAACTTTCTACTGTTTGCAAACATGTTCAGCAGCCACCCTTGTGATGCTCTACTGTTTGTTACAGAATAACAATTCATGGAAAGCTTTCACTTTACTTTCTCTTCCTGCTGAATCACCAACAATTATGCAGACTGCTACTTTTAAACCAACAATGCTGATTAAGGCCCACAAAGCAATGCATTAAAAGTAACATTTTGTATTACATGAACAGGGCATAAATCTTTGGCATGGATTGTTGTAAATTAAAAAAACCTAAGCAAACATTATCTGATGCAACCCAAGTCAGAAGGTGTCCGTGGACATTTCTTAAATAAAAGTACTGTAGTTTGGTTCCAAAAGTTAGGTCAAGTGCATAACTAGCCCAGCAGAGCTTCAGTCATTAAGTCCCTGTAGCCTGAAAAGACGCCAAACATTTCTCAAAAACAGGGTTTCTTTGGTGACAACTAGAACAGACTCAGCCCGAAGAATCGGCAAACTTTACACACAAGGCAGTGACGGTTGTGCATCAGAAATTCCATGCAGATTTTATGGCCAGAATTACACAGCATCCGATACTAAGCACCTGGAGCTGGCAGGCCACATCCTGCTGGAGCCCAGCACCCCTTTTCCGACTTCAAGACCATCTCCCACCCAGCCAACCCACCGCTTGCCATAGGATGGGGGCGGGTGGGAGAAGGGCTGCTGGTCAGAGAGCAGGAAACAAACACACAGACACACACACCCCTCGGTCTCACCTGGGGAGAGAAGGGAGGCGGTTGCCCAGGGAGGGGGAGGAGGAGGAGGAGGAAGGCTCCTGCTGCTGCTGCTGCTGCCTCCGCACGGCCTGGAGGAGGAGGGTCGGGGGCACGTCCATCTTGGCCGCGCAGCGCTTGAGGTGGCCCGCCCGGGCTTTGAGGGAGCCGAAGCCCTTCCCGCAGACCGGGCAGTCGGGGACGGAGGGCGGCGGCGGCGGCAAGGGCGGGGGGAGCCCCTCCAGCTCATCCAGGCACCTGCTCGGCGGGAAGGGTCGAGGGAGGGAGGGAGGCAAGAAGGAAGGCAGGGAGGCGGGCGGTCAGTCGGTCGGTCGGCCTAGCTGAGCCTAGCCTAGCCTTCCCCCAACCCCCCCCACCGCTGCCGCCGCCGCCCGAGGCTCTCACCGGTTGACGTGCTGCTGCCTCCGGAGCGGGTCCAGCGCCGAGAGGTCCGCCCGGCACAGCTGGCAGAGCACCGGCCCCACGTCCTCCCGCCGCCGCCGCTGCTGTTCCCGGAACTCGTCCTCGGAGTCGGCCCCCATCGCTGGCGCAACGCAACCCCCTCCCCCTCCCGGGGCGGAGACTGCGCAGGCGCAAAGAAGGGCGGGGACACGACACACTTCCGGTAAAGCGCCCAGAGCGGCGGCCCGCCATAGAGAAGGCGCCCAGAGAGGTTCTGCAGCCTCCTCTTCCCTCTGCGCCCTCTGGCGGCTGCCTTGCCCGCCCGCGCGCGCACCCGTTCCGCCCGGAGCCGGGTCCGCCTGCTACGAGGCCCGGAAGCCGAGGCCGGCACCGCCCGGCGCTTTCCGGAGGGCCCTTGCCAGGAGGGGGGAGCCGCCTGGCAGCCCTCCTTGGGCGGCCCTTTACGCCCCAAGCAAGAAGCCCGAAGAGGCTCCCTCCCTCCCGCCACCCCAGCCCCAAATAAAAAGCAGAGGCAGACACCATGGGGAGCTGAGAGAGAGCGCGAGGACTTTACTGGAAGACCCCGAAGGCCCAGCTGTGCCCTCTCGGCACCCGCAAAGGAGAGGGGGGGCATGTCCAACCCAGCCCCAACACAAACAGGGACAATCCAGTCACATGCATTTTTGGGAAAAGGAAAAAACAACAACATGATCCTGCAGGGCTCAGTCCCCAGCAGGGCAAGAGCAAAGCCTGGGCTGTCCTTTCCCCGAGGGAACCAAGCAGGCAGCCAGGAAGTCCAGCCGGCAGGGGACCGAGCCAGTCCCCCTCTGGGTCCCGACGCAAAGGAGGAGGTCATCCTCCGAAGCCAGGCCGGCCGGCCGCCTCCCTCAGTGCTTCTCCAAGGCTTTGGTGAGGAGCTCATTCAGCCGGCTCACCATCGGCCGGGGATCCTCGCTCAGACCTGCCGCCATCATTGCATTGTCATAGATCTGTAGGCAAAAGCAAGAAACAGAGAGAGAGGGTGGGAAGAGGGGCTTCTGTGGCTGCCACAAAACTTAAGTGGCAATTAGGGGGACAGTAATTCGTGGCTTCTGCAGGGACCACAATGCTCAAGACCCCCGTGCGCTTTCTACCTCATGGGTGCTGCCTCTCGTCCAGGGGAATCGCAGCACGGCTCCCAAGGGGTGAGGGCTGCTAATGTTAGCGCAGGCACACCATGCGACCCAGAACAGGCCCAGGCAGCTCAACACACATGGAAAAAGGAGGGAGGGAGGGAGGGAGGCCAGTGGCTGCCGCCCTTGACACTAACCTGGTCAAGCAGCATTTGGGCCAGGTCAGGCTGACTGGCTCGCAGCTGGTTCAGCTTCTTGATCAGGGCATGCCTGCAGTGGGAGAGGGAAAGATGTGGGCCACTGCACCTTCCCTGTGCAGAAGACTCTTTGCTATATCCCCACAGATTTCCTTCCTGCAACAGATGCTCCTGGAAGAGAATGACCCTGGCTCCTGGCCAGAGTGCAAGGTCAGGCATCAGGAGCTCAGCTCTGCTCACCAAACCATCACCACATACCCTGTATTGATCTCCAGTGTGGGCTGCAAGATTTGGGCTCGCTCCTCACTCGTCTTGGCCAGCTGCTGCATGCGCAGGAAGTGGCGGGCAGCACCCATCTCCAGCACAGTGATCATGGCTGGATGGGTATCCAGGCGGGGGGTCACCTGCACATTGATGGAAGTAAAGCAAGGCAGAGATCATGACCAAAAAATGGTCCCTCTGTCTCTCCAACCTCCCAGTTCAAAAAAAGCTAACAGCCTCCATGTCCTCATAACCTGCAGGCCAGGAGGACATGGAGGCTGTCCTGCATGGATGTCATGCATGCATCCAGAAGGGCCATTTCTCGTGGCAGCAGCAGAAACAGGACCTCCAGCCACTGTCTTGCAGCATAGCTTCTAGGAGACGTAGCAGGGGAGGGGAGCACAGGAGCCATCCTTTTTGGGCGTGTGTGTGTGCGTGTGTGCGTGTGTGCGTGCGTGCGTGTGTGTGTGTGTGTGTGTGTGTGTGTGTGTGTGTGTGTGTGTGTGTGTGTGTGTGTGTGTGTGTGTGTGTGTGTGTGTGTGTGTGTGTGTGTGTGTGAAATAGAAAAGCACACCTGCTCGGACAACCTCTAGAGCCAAAGCAGCTTCTTTCCACTCTGCCTAGGGTGCCTCTGAATGAGGCCAGGTTGCCCCAGCTCACCTTGATTGCAGCCACCCGAGAACCAAGAGCATTCCTCATCCAGGCCATGAGATCCTCAGCATCCTGGGGACTAAGGCATTCTTCAGCTGTGGAAACAGAGTTTCAAAGTGCGCAAGAAGCTCAGGACCGGAAAAGGAGGGAAGCAACATAGCCCAGACACCCTCCCCCCGTCCCACCAGCACTTCCTCACAACAACAGGAGGAAGAGGGGAGGGATGTGAGAGGGTCCTGCTGGGAGCCAAGTCTCCCCTGCCTCCCCAAACCCAGCTTTGCCCCCACCCCTTGTACCACCTTCTGCAATAGAATGAAGGCTAGTGCTTCCACCACCTGCTTGCCCAATGCCTTTCCTGCCAGTTTTTAGCCCTACCGCCTGCATTAGAGCAGGAGGCAACAATTTCCGGGAAGGTGGGGACTGCTGTTTTTGGAAAGCTACCTGAGCGGCTCTCCTCAAACTTCTCCTCCTTGTAGTGGTCAACCACAATATCCGTCTCCACTGACATCAGCTTCTTTTTCTCAAACTCCCTCAGATGCAGCAGCGTCAGTTCATCAAACTGCTCATAGCAGAAGAGCACCTGGCAGCCCAAAGGGAGAGGGTGAGACTTTGCTCTGAAACAGCACCGCCAAGGAAGGGCCACACCTTCCCTGGTACATATCCTTCTCCTTCTCACCTCTTTAGCCCTCTGTAGCTTAGCAGCAGAGGGACCTGCTAGCAAGAGACACAATGGTGCACCCAGGCCTGCTGCTGACCAAGCCAAAAGGGCAGGGCCACCACTCTGGATGCAGGGAAGGAGGGCCAGCTGGCATCCCCCACAGTCCCAGGGTGTGGCACAGAGGCTGGATCACTTCTCCTCGCGCTGACAGAACCACGGCCAGGACCGAGACCCCAGGGCCTCCTTTCATCCTGACGGGATCAGGCCAGGCAGGCCCCTCACCTCCACATTCTTCTTCTTCATGGCCTCATAGTACGGAGAGTGTTCAGCCAGGTGGCGGTTGGGGGCAGACAGGTAGTAGATGCTCCTGCTGCCAGCTGGCATGCGACTGGCATATTCCGGGAGGCTGGTCAGCTGGCCAGCAGGCAGTGCTGAGGACTCATAGCGCAGTAGCTTGGCAATGTCTTCCTGCAGAAAGATGGCCTCCCTTGAGTCACAAGTAGGAGCCAGAGCAGAGAGCACAAAAAAAAGCAGGCCACAAGCCTCCTGAGCACCTCAGCGCCTCCCCATCACAACGCCTCCCTCCCTCCCACCCCAACGGTCAGCAGCCACCGTGAGCCATCAAAACCCAGTCGGCTGCCCAGGGCAGGGCACCTTGACATCCTGTTCAGCAATGGTGACAATTCCCTCACGCATGAACAACCCGTAATCCTCAAAGAACTTGGCGTATTTCTCAGGGTCTCGCTTGCTCTGATCCATGAAGAATTTGATGAGCCGCTGCTGCAAAACTTCCCGAAGCTTCCTGTGGGCCAAGAGGTGAGCAGCCAAGAATCAAAGACAGGGCGGGCAAGGGGGAAAAGCACACAGCCTGCAGAAATACCACCACAGGGAGGGCATCACCCGGGGTGGGGAGACTAGCTTCAATGGGTGCTATTGTGGTAACACAGCCCTACTTCCACTAGAGCAGGTCACTTCCCAGGGAGGCCACAGGGGTGCGTGAGGGGGGTGCAGCTCAGCAGCAGAACAACGGCCTGCCATACAGATATTCCCAGTTTTGATCCCTGACAGCTGTGTTGGAAGGAAACAGGAAGGAGGCCCTTTCCCTGCCCAAACACCAGCCGGGGGGTGTGTGTGTGTCTGACAGTCCCAGCAGCCAGTTGCAGATGAGAGGAGACAGATAGTTCTCGCATGTCCTGTCCACGTGACCCTCGCATTGCTCCTCCTGGGTTGCCCACCGGATGAGGGTGCTCTCCTGCAGCAGCTCCCGGCTCAGGTTCAAGGGGATATCCTCGCTGTCCACAACTCCTGCGCCAGAGAGATGATGACAAGCTATAGCACAAGGACGGGGAAACCACTCCCCGCATCTCCTGCCTCTGCCCAGCTACGGCCCAGAGCAGCATTGGTCTGCAACTGCGATGCTGGTGCTTCAACAGGTGGCGGATCCGGAGTGGGGTTTCAAGGCACCTCCGTGCCTGGGATTCCCTTTTCCGCCGCCACTTCTGGTTCCACCACCACCCGTTGGTTTGTGTTTTGTTTTTCAGTTTGGGCACTCGGGCCCAAAAAAGTTCACCACCACTGGCCCAGAGCTTTCCGGACTACCTTTCAGGAAACGGAGCCACTTGGGCAAAATATCTGTGGCTTTAGTCAGGATCAGGACCTTGCGACTGTAGAGGGCTACGCTGGAGCCCAGCTCCCGGCTGACATCGAACATGGAGGGCTTCTGAAGGTTGAGAAATCAGAAGAATTCTGAGACACAAGCCAGAAGCGACTCCCTCTATGGAGAACCCCTCACTGACCCTCCTGGCATGGGCCTGATGTGCCCTTGGTGCTGGTTTGCTTTGGACCGGCAGGAGTCAGAAGAGATGGGGCAGACCCTCCTTCTCAGACAATCCCCTCCCCCCCAAAAAAAGAACTCACCACCTCTGGCACATAGAAGATGCTGCGGATGTTGAGAGGCGCATCAGTCTTGTAATGAAGGATATAACGGGGCTCATCATAGGCCTGGGCAATGAAGCGATAGAACTCCTTGTGCTGCCAGTCCCCGATGTCCTTGGGGTCCATCATCCAGAGGGCCTGGGCAGAGGGGCAAACAGAAAGCAAGGAGGCTCAGATGTCCACCAGGCAAGCATGTCTCTACAGAGCCAGACCCACTGAAATGCCTACCTTGAAGCCACAGAGGAGGAGGAGGAGTCAGGCCTCATGCTACTGCCACTTAAAACTCTACTGGTGTGCTTTCTCCCTCCCCACCCCCAAGCAAAAAGGTCAGTGAAAGGACCACCGGCCAGGAGGAGGGAATTTCTTCACAGTAGCCCAGAACAATGCAATGGGCCCAAAAGGTGGACGCTAGCAGCAACCCCAACACAACTGTGCTGAGCCTTCAAGAAACGTGGCGGTGGCAGGAGACTTCTTTCTGGGCTGAGAGGCGAAAGAAAAACTGGATCCATTCAGGCTCTGCCCTGGCCAGTCTGTTGCCCAAGGCAGCCCACAGACATGCAGCCAGTGGCAACGAAGAGAAAACACGCTGCATTTGCACAAAGAAGGAGAACCAAGGACTGCCTCAAAGGCCAATTCACTTCACCCTTGACAACCCAGCACCTCAAAGAAGGCCTTGTGCATAAAAATCCCCCCCCCTCGGCTCTTTCAGCCACTGAAGGGAACTCCCTGGACTGCAAAAAGAAGGAAGAGCTGGAGAAGAACAACCCGGTCAAGGCAGCAAACGAGCTCACAATCAAGGCAAGAAGCTGAACAACACACAGAGGAGCGCGTGGCTTCCAGTGCCCTGTCGCTCAAGCCTGGGCCCACCCCATTTCCTGCAACCCCCTTACCTGCAAGGTGTTGATAGAGCGCCCGTTCAGGTAGACAGGGAAACTGATGAAGTTGCTGTATTTTGTGATTACCTCTAGAGGAGGAAAAGGACACACTGAGTAAGCTGCCTGTGCACGCCCCACCCCCAATGGGTCTGCCCTCCCCTGGACCACCTACAGTGCTGGGATCTGTAAGCCACACAGGGCCTGGAAGAGCTGATGGGAAACAGCACACACCACCCTGTCTGGCACAGCAAAAGGAAAGGGGAGAGTGAGACCCAGTAGTGGGCAGAATCACAAACCCAGAGGCCACATCAGCTCATCTGCTTTTGCCTCTAGTCTGAGAGGCTGCTCTGGGCTTATCCACGGAAGGTCTTAAGAAGCTTCACCCCCCCCCCAATCCCCTGCACACACTCCATCTACTCCGCTGTCCTCTCCCTTCCCTCCAGCTGTCTGTCTGGGCTTTTAACAAAAGAGCACAAGGCTGAAACCGGCTGGGACCTCTTCCCTGTACAGCGTGGCCTCCTCAACCACTGGGCTGCAGCCCCTCTGTCAGCTCCACGGGCCAAGCTTTGCCGCCTCCACTGTGGAACTCTTCTGGTATGCGCCCTGGCCCATGAGATGGCTAAGCCCAGGAGCCCCCAGCCTGCCTGACTCACCTTTGACCCGTTCCTCACTGGCAAATTCCTTGCAGTCTTCTTTGAGATGGAGAATTATTTTAGTCCCAGTGCATACTCCAGAAGCTTCTGAGATCTCAAACATCCCGGAACTAAGATTAGAAAGAGAAGCCTAGGAGCCAGCAAAGGGCCAGAGATGATCTTTCCTGGCCCTTCTTCCCAGTCTCTTACAGGGAGATTGCAATGGCTCAGTCAAGCCAGTTACAGATGGAAGAATCCACCCTTCCACTCCGAATGTCCCAGATCTAGGAGGCTGAAGTAGGGCCATGCCTGCTTAATGCCTGGAAAGGAGACCTCGAGCTTAGTTCTTGGAAAGTATCCTGCCAGAGGCATTGGGAGAGGCTCTGTTTCCTATCAGACTTAAGAAGAAGGAAAAGGAGGAGCCTGGCTCTGTAGAAGACAATTTCCCCATTTCTACCTGAAGGCATTACCCTCTGGGAAACAACACCATTGTAGAGTCTTCTAATTCCTGACCTACTGGAAAACTATTTGTCCCTTCTGTTTATTTAATTCTGCAACAGGCCCAATTTTGTAGCTGCCTCAATAAAGAAACCAGTGTCTCAACTCCCAGGTCTAGAAAAACCAACAAGGGAAGAAGAATCCACAAGCCTCTTCCTTTTCCACAAAACCTGAGAGATCACTGTTCCCTAAGAGATCCTTATTTGTGCCCCTGGATCAAACTCCACCAGGAATGCTGGCAAGTGGCTGCAGGCAAAGGCCACAGAGCCTTCAGCAGGAAGGGTCCCCACTCTCCAGCACGCCTCTTACCTGTCTGAACTCCAGCAGTAGCCAGAGCTGCCCGGCTCCACCGACTGTGAGAAAACGTCCACCCGATCAGCTACCATGAAGGCCGAGTAGAAGCCCACTCCAAATTGGCCAATGATCTTACTGTTGGCCTCTCCCTGCTTCTCCAGCACATCTAGAAAGGCCTGGGAACAGAAAATGCTGTTGGCTGCACCCATGCTGCCTGTGTGGGCGAGTGAGCATCCAACCACTCTTCTTTTCACCCCGCTAGGTGCACCTCTATCAGCCAAGCAACACGCAGGGCACTATAAGGCTGAATAAATAGAGGATTCTTCATCATCACGTTCCTAAATTTCATGTGAGCTCTTGAACTGCATGAGCCATGTTAACCTGCAGCTGCAAAATAAAGCTAGAAGTTTTCATTCACTTAAAAGTTATAATTATAATGTTTATTACAGCAACCAAAAGAAACAGAAACCTTTTTCATGTCATTTTGTGCAGTTTCATGCAAATGGAACAGTAGACTGGGACTCAGAATCCATACAATAGTTTAACTCATTTCAAAAGATCTACAAGTTTCTCTTCCATTTTATTTCAGGTACTTATGGATCACATGGCATGTTACCTTACAGGAAAAGTTTAAGAAAAAGATGAAAGTCTAACCCAGTTCCAAAGGAAGAACTGTAGCAGGCTGAGTCCTGCTTGCTCTCATCACCAGTGCTAAGGCCTGGGCTCTGCTCACCCACTCAAGGACAAGACAGGAAGGGGCCTGGAGGTGGTCACCCTCTTTGTCACTACAGAAAGTTCTCAAAGGTTTGCAAACAGTTACGCCCCCACCCCCCCCCCACCCCCACCCCCCCGAGGCTTGTCTACCCACTTCACCTTGGAGCCAGATCGTGCTATGGTGCCCAGATTGGACAGAAGTTCCTCTCGGGTCATCCCAATACCTGTGTCCTGCAAATAAGAATATAGAAGACCACATCCATTTTGTGAAGAGAAAAAATAGAAAAACTGAGAGTCCTCTACAGGAACTCTTTTTAAGATTCACAGCTTTCGTTTTTAAAAAATGTTGAAGAAAAATCAGGGACTAGCCAGCCCTCAGCACCAGGGACTGGGGCATGCATTGGACAGGACTTGTAGCCTGGCTGCAGGAAAGACAAAATCAACTTCCACCGTCTATAGTGTTTCTCCTTGCTTGAAACGGCCCAATTTCTCAAGTGAGGAGGAACACTACAGAAACAGAAAACTCATTCTGGATCAGAGACCATGGCCAACAAATTTTAAGGAACAAGGACAGTAACAGGTGACTAAAGTGGCCACAGAAGTCTGGGGTGCAAGGGCTCCACAGAGCTCAAGAAAAGGAAATTGCTGTGGTCTCCCTGGTTGACGTACCTGGACAGTAAGAGTTCTTTTCTTAGAGTCTGTCTCAAGGTGGATCTCCAGTTCTGGCAGGGCCTTCCCTTCAGACACCAGCTTATAACGCAGTTTTTCTAATGCATCACTTCCATTGGAGATCAGTTCCCGGATAAAAACCTGCAGGGAAAAAAAACGTGTTACCTTCTGCAAATCTGAGAGAAGGTGAGCACAAAGCAGTGGCTCTGGAACCAGCAAACTCCTTCAAATCAAAGGAGACACGGACTCTCCCAGAAAGAGCCTGTAGGGAAGGCCCAAGAAGAGCCTGGGGATCTTCTCCCACTGGTCAAAGCAGGCAACAAGGCCCGGCCCAGCAGAGGAATCTGACAAGCCTCCAGCCCCTATGGCTAATCCCATTTAACAAGAAAGGAGCCCCGAGTTCCTGCGGCCTGGCTTCCGCCCTTCAGGGACCCCTGGCCTATCGCCCCAGTGGAGCTCCCGGTGGCCACCCGACGCCCTCAGGCAGCAGCAGCAGCAGCAGCAGCCGCCGCGCCTTCTACTCTACAGCAGGCAGCCTCCCACCTCCTTCTCCGAGTAGAGCGAGCGGGCCACGATGTCCAGCAGCTTCTTGGTCTCGGCCTGGAACTCGTGCTTCGAGGAGGAACCTGCGGGACCAAACGGATTGCGAAAGGGATGAGGCGCGGAGGGAAGGGGCCGGCAGCCGGGCCGCTTCGAGGCTCGAGCCAGGGAGGCAAGCGGGCAGAGAGCAGGCAGCCTCCCACCTCCTTCTCCGAGTAGAGCGAGCGGGCCACGATGTCCAGCAGCTTCTTGGTCTCGGCCTGGAACTCGTGCTTCGAGGAGGAACCTGCGGGACCAAACGGATTGCGAAAGGGATGAGGCGCGGAGGGAAGGGGCCGGCAGCCGGGCCGCTTCGAGGCTCGAGCCAGGGAGGCAAGCGGGCAGAGAGGCAAGCGGGACCCCACCTGGGACGCTCTCCGGGGTATACTTTAGGTGCTTCCAAGAAACAAGGAAATAATTACTTTTAAGAAATTGAGAACATAATGCTAATTATCAAAAGAAGAATCTTAGATCTATAGCATGTACTACTTGTTTTTTAAAATGACTTTCTGAGTTTTGCCTTGTTCATTTGAGAGGGTTTCCTTTAGTTCTCCCTGGAGATCCCTCCTTGGAAGAAATGAGCAGTAGACATCTATAATCCAGCATCCCATATGTTATATCTCACATCCTCACTTCCATAAATAGCCCATGATGAGGGCACTCCTCTGGAATGTTGAGCTCCCTCTTTTGTCTATGAGCCAACCCTGCCCAGTTGAATAATCAGTGTTAAAGCAATTCCTGATGAAATTTGCCATTTGAGATATGAAAGTTCAACTGCTCATAGTCACACAAAACATATCTTTCTCTGGATTGTGGCATTTGTATTTCTTAAATCTGATTTACACAGAAGTCAGATTAATTGGTGCAAATTCTGTTGTGTTTTCCTATTTCTTACTATGGACACTGTGAAATTGAAGTTAATGAATTTTAATAGTAAAGACAACAAAATTAGATGCATGAATATCCAAGCAAGTAAAGTATGCTGCTGCTGCTGTTTTATCACACATACTGTCAGTAATGGTAAAGACAAATTATATTGGACGATGTTTTTTGTTTTACAGTGTTTTTACATTTTCATTTCTTTTAGCAATTGTAACTTAACCTCTTAGGTGGCCACCCACCAGCCGGTCCGGGTTGCCGGCGGAGGCCAGAGGTGGCCGGCCGCCCTCGCCGAGGCGGCTCCGAGGGGAAGGGGGCGTCCCGCCGGAGGGTGGCGCGAGCGAGGCCTGACAAGGGGGCTGCTTCTCGGTTCGGCAGGGCCTGCCGGATCGCCCTCCGGAGGCACCAGCGGCAGGGATGGAGAGCAAGGACCCGGAGACCGAGATCCACCCGCTGAAGAACGAGGAGGGCAAGGCGGCGGCGGCGGAGGGCAAGGGCACGGCCGCCCCGGGGGCAGGGGGCCTCCCCAGGAAGGCCGGGCGGCTCTCCCGGTGGCGCACGGCCGCCTTTTTCCTCTCCCTTTTCCTGTGCCTGCTGGTGGTCTTCGCCTTTTCCTTCATCATCCCCTGCCCCGTCCGGCCGGTCTCCCAAAAGACGTGGAGCAGGAGTTACGACAATGCCGGTAGGTCTCTTCCTATCTTATTTTTCCTAGCACATACCTGGAGGTTGGATTTAATTAAAAAGGTTAATTAGGCTGACTTTTGGCAAGGGTTTTCTTCGTATTGTTTTCGGAAGTCAATTTGGTTGATGGATGAAATATGCAGGTATACTCTCTTGGCAGCCACGTACCCGTTCCTGGCCTTGGCAGACGTGGACGGGGATGGCGTGCAGGACGTCCTCTTTGCCTTCCAGGCGGCCGCCGGGCACCTCGACCACCACCGTCGCTCCTTCAACAGCTCCTGTCCGGAGGCGGGTGAGCGACAAAGGCTGCGCACCAGGCGATGCTTGGCCCGAGGGGGGGACCAAACGGGGCCCAGCGCTACAGAGGGACCCCGGAAGGGCGCTGCTGTGAGGGAAGGGAAGGGGCTGTGCTTCGGGCAACGTGGCTGGCACCACGTGGCTGCTGACCTGCCCTCCTCTCTTGCAGGCTTGGCCTCCCCCTGTGCCTTTGTGGCTGCCCATTCAGGCACCAATGGCAGCACACTCTGGGAGAGGCCGGTGGGGGAAGACCTCCTGCTGATGGACTGCACGCTGGAACTGACGAACACCCCGGCCTGCCTCCTCATTGGGAAACCTGACTTCTTGGCCGCCCTCGACCGGAGGACAGGTGGGCCCTGCTAGGTTCTCTGCAGAACCCTAACCGTTGGGGGGGGGTTTCCCTCTCTGTGTTTCTGGCCCGAGGTGCTCAGTAGGGAAGGCAGGCAGAGCTAAAAGAGCACCAGGAACGGGATGAGCCAGGGAAAACCCAGGCACCGGCTGACCTGGCTTCCCTTCCTCTCTCCGACAAGTATCTGAGTTGGATCGGCTCCTGCTCGGCATGAAGCTTGGACAGGGTGATGATGCTACGGGGATGAGTGGGGTTTTGGGTGGGACAGATGTGAAATGGCAGCCTCAGAAACACAGCCAACAGCCACCCCAGGTGACGCTTCCAGTGCCCTGCTGGGTTTCTGGAGAGGGAGTGGGGAGGCCACCAGGTATTTGAACACCATCTTAGGAGTCCCCATTTTGCAATTAAAGGGCCTCATCTTTGCTCATTCTGATGCTTATATCTAGGCGGAGAACGCTTTTAGAATTGTTTGTTCCTGGAGCTTGGGCAAAAAAGATCGGGTGCTTCAAATGCAGGAAAAAGTTACAAGAGATGCAGTTGTGGTAGGCAGGGTGTTGTTTCTCATGACAGAGGTCTGAAGGATGCCAGAAGCATCCAGGAGTGTGCACAGGGGGGGCCACTCTGGCTAAGAAGAGTCATACCTCTTCCATATCAGCTTTTTTTTTCTCTCTGATTGTTTCAGGTCAGGCTGTGTGGCAGCAGGTGGTTGACTTTGGAACCAATTCCACAATACTGAGTCCCCTGCTGAAGGTCCCTGATATCAACAAGGATGGTGTGTCTGATCTCTTGTTTTTTACGTCAACAGGAGGGAAGGTAAGGCTTCATGCACTTTGCTAGTGATACAGAAAAAATTAATTCCTCAGAGCTGCGGGTTGCATCTATTGCAGCCTCAGTATAGCTGGCTGGCGGGGCTTGGCTTCAGAGAGTCCAGATAACTTTTTGTTTCGGGCAAACTGGAAAACATGGAAAGGTTCTGGCCAGTCTCTCTGCCTGAGTGGCGCCTTCCAGCAGAAGCCCCCCACCTGTTGCATCATTAGGGCACTGCTGTGGGGTCCTGGTGACCCAGGGAGGGGGGAAGTTGCCCACCCAGAAGAGACCAGCCCCACAGATGAACCTCATTCACGTCAGCCATCCTCAGGTTTGGTGGTGGTGGACCACTGAAGGCCCTGGGGCGCCAATAGGGAGTATCCTTTTATTGGTACTTGACCTTTCCTGAATGGGACAAGGAGGAGCTGCTTCACATGGCTGAAGTCATGCCAAGGGAGGAGCCTCAGGTAAGGGGTAAAGGCATTTCTCTCTCCAGTGGTCACAGGGGCCTCTCACTGCCAGGAAAAGAGGTTTGTCCTCCCCCACCAAGAAGGGACTTCAAGAGCTGATGGGTGGCCATTTCTTTCTTGGGCAAGGAACTCTGTTTAATTTAATACTGTCTCCTTAGGTGCCCGGGTGGCCTCTTTTTCTTTCTTGCTAAGTGTCTTTACATACAGTTTTTCTTCTCTTCCTGCTTTACAGTTTTTTCTCCCTGGTAGCCCCAATTTCCTGAAGCCCTCAGGCCCATTCCTGTGGCCACAACTTGCTTTCTTTGCCCTTTCACCCTTAAACCAACTGGTTGCCTCCCGTTCTCGTGCCTATTTTGGGGAGCAGTAAGATTAAACTTAAGCAAACCCTAGCACTCATTCTCTTTGCAGGCCTGAGGTGGAAGGTCGGCAGCCGCCAGACTGGGCTCCACCTTCTCACCCGTCCCTGGCTCTTGTTTTCTCTGCAGGTGACATTTTTATTCTGTTCTGGCTCAGATGGCCGTCCGATTGGGGCCAGCAAAGTCCTGCATCTGCCAGGGTGCCGTGGCCATCTTCTGCACCTCACCAAGAGCGGTGCCCTCTATGTGCTCTTCTATTCAGGTGGGTCCATGGGTTTCCTGGGAGGAGCACTGTCTCAGTGAAAGCAAGGGGTCAGTGATATCCCTCATCCACTCCTGGGCACGGGTGGTGGTGGGTATCGTTTGCCTGACATGGTTGCCCCCCCCCTCTCTCTCTGCTCAGTAACAACTGTGTATGCCTACTCGGTGGAGGAGCTCTTCCACATGGTCTTGGAAGACCATCATAGCACTGCCCTGAAGGAGGACCCACACTGGGAGCTGACCATTGACAGAACTACCCACCAGCTCTCCTTTCTCAGGTACTTCCCTCCTCCCTGGGGGCTTCTGGCCACCATTCCACCTCGCTGTGTCTGGACATCTGGATCAGCCGCTGGACTGGGGGGGGTCACACATCCAGCCGCTCAGCATCCAGCTTCCAGCTGCTTTGTGGGAGCCACCAAGCAGAGGGCAGGAAGGCAGTTGTTGCCCCTGTTGCCTTTGGTGACCACCAGGGATTGGGAGGCAGGCGTTTCCTTTTTTTTTTTTTTGTACTTTTTATTTTTTATAAGGGATAACAGAAAGGAAAAGGGAATTGGGATTGATGAGGAAGAGGGGAGACAATAACATACTTTCATCCATTCTGTACCTATTGCCATATCAAGATTTTAAATTATTCTATTTACTCTTTTCTGCCTTCTAGATTCAGTTCTCCTTTCAATATGTACTGTTCACAAGCTGCCTGTTGATTCTGTCCACTTGTTAAATAGATCCCATCTTTCTGTTGCCTTTTGCAAGGGATAGTCCTTCATGACTTCTGATAAAATGTCCATTTCTGCTGTTTCCCATATCTTTTCAATAAGATCTTCTTGTTTCGGTACCGTTGATCTTTTCCAATTTTTAGCATATAAAATTCTAGCTGCCGTAACTATGTATATAACTATATAATTCTTTGACTTATCTATATTTTCAGGTATCATACTCAATAAAAACAGTTCTGGGGTTAATGGCACTTTACAGAGCAATATTTGTTCCAACATTACATGCACTCTTTTCCAATATTGTTTCGCTACTCCACATGACCACCACATATGATAATAGCTTCCCACTTGTGATTCACATTTCCAACACTTATTTGATACATCTGTATACATCTTTGACAATTTTTCTGGGGTCATGTGCCATCTATAAAACATCTTATATATATTCTCTTTAAAGTTCACCGATCTTGTAAGCTTTATATTATTTTGCCATATTTTCAGCCATTGATCAATATCAATGTTATGCCCTATATTTTGTGCCCACTTAATCATACATACCTTAACCATTTCATCTTGCATCTTAATTTCCAACATATAATTATACATTTTCTTAACAGTTTGTTCTTTTGAACCTAATAAAAGTTTGTCAAAAATCGTTTGCTCTAAATAGAAGCCTTCTATTTTATCTTTTGTATATCTAGATTCTAGCTGTGCTCTAGGCCACCACTCTATATATATATTCTGTGACTCTAGCTCTTCTTTAGACTTTAGTTCACCATCCTTTTTTAATAGATCTTGATATTTTAAAAAGTTTGTTTTTGTCATAAGACTGGGTTGGATAAAGGCCTCTAACGATGACACCCATACAGGTATTTTATAATAAATTTGTTGTACAATTTTTCTCCACATTCCCAGCAAAGCTCTTCTTATCATATGTGAATTAAAAATTTTTTGTTCTTTGTCCTTTTTATACCATAAATAGGCATGCCAGCCTAATTGCAAATCATGTCCCTCCAAGCTAAGTAATCTATCATTTTCTAGAGTTATCCATTCTTTGATCCAATCTAGAATACAAGCTCTATAATACAGAACCCAGTCAGGAAGACCAAAGCCACCCCTCTGCTTAGCATCTTGCATTGCCTTAATTTTAATTCTTGGTTTTTTACCTTGCCATATAAATCTCATGATTATCTTATTAAATTCTTTGAAAAATGACTGTTTTAATATTATAGGGATTGACTGAAATAAGAATAGGATTTTTGGTAAAATAGTCATTTTAATTGCTGCAATTCTTCCCAACAACGATAGTTGTAATTTGTCCCATTTCTCCAAATTGTTCTGTATCTCCTTCATTAGTTTCATGTAGTTATCTTTGAATAATGTACTTGTCTTTTTTGTAATTTGTATTCCTAAATATCGAATTTTCTTCTCCTCATGAAAGTTCGTCTTCTCTATTAGCTCTTGTCTTTCATGTTCTCTCATGTTTTTGGTAAGTAATTTAGTCTTCTTTTGGTTTATTCTCATTCCTGCCATGTCACCAAAAATTCTTAACGTTGTCATCAGGTCCTCTATTGAATCCAATGGTTCTTCCAGTATGATAACTAAATCATCCGCAAAGGCCTGGAGTTTGTAGACTTGACCTTTCACTTTTAATCCTTTCAATTCTTTTTTGTTTCTAATTTGTTCGTTTAGTATTTCCAGAGTCAAAATAAACAGGAGTGGGGAGAGTGGGCACCCCTGTCTAGTACCTTTCTGTATTTGGATTTCTTTTGATAGTTTGCCATTAATTTTTACTTTTGCCTTTTGCTCCGTATATATTGCTTTAATTAGTTTCATAAATCTTTCTCCAACCTGCAGTGTTTTCAATGTGTGCATCATAAAATTCCAGTCAAGATTATCAAATGCTTTTTCCGCATCCAAGAATGGGAGGCAGGCGATTCCTGAGCTCCAGGAGGATGGAGCGGGATGGTGGTGATAAGAAGGCCTGAGTCCTCCTGGGGCCCAGCAGCGTCTAAATGCTCTGTCAGGGAAGGGGAAGGAAGGGAAGGACTCTACACAAAAGCAGCCTAGCCCTTCTCCTGTCTTGGTGTCCTCCCTGTTGTGCCGATGTGTAGCAATCCAGGTTTCCAGGCGGGGCTTCTTCCCTGGAGAGGCTGCCGGGGGCTGAGTGTTTGTAGGGAAAGGAAGAGGGGGATTTTGCATGGAAAGAGAGTGGATTTTCTTTCCCTTCCCTAAAATTTCAGTGTGGGAGGAATGGACGCTCAGGTTGGCTCTCCAGACTTCAGCCGTGTCCTCTTTTGCTCTTTTGCTTCTCCAGCACCGGAGAGATCCTATCTTTGGCAGAGGTGGCCAAAAAAGCGGGGGCCAGCCTTTTGGTGGCCAGGTCCGGCATGCTGGAGCTGGTGGATGGGCAGCGCCTGGGTTCCATGTGGGTCACGGACATACCCCACATCTGGAGGTAACACTGGCTAGAGCAGACGGGGAGGCAGGATCTTTTACAAGAGCGGCTGCATCGTCACTGGGAAATGACCAGCTCCCCCCCCCCGGGCATGGCTGCCTAAGACCCCTTGCGCTTGTTCTGTCTGCCCTAGCCAGGTCTTTGGCCCCCTGTGGAAAAGATGTGGCCGGCTCCATCTCCATCTGTCCCCATCCCTTATCTCTGGGTCCATGCCACGAGGAAGGCACCTGTTTGCCGTGGCTCTGCTCAAAGCTTCTTTTGAGGGGGCAGAGGATCAGCCAGGCTGATATCTGGGGGAAGGCAGGAGTGGAGCTGGTCTCACACGCCCCATCTGGAGCCTCACCTTGAACGGAGTCAGGCCCCCTGACACCCGTCTTCTCACATCCCTCTTGCAGGGAGCCAGTGCTGGGGTCTTTCTACCCTGACGAGGTGGATGTGCTCATCGAAAGCCAAGTCTCGCCCACGAGGAAGAAGGTCTTGGAGGGATTTAAGAAGGGGCAGGGGGGTTGGATCCAGGACCCATATGCACTAGGTGCTCTGGGGAGCCGATAGCACATAAAGCACCAAGAGGAAATCTAGGTTGCTTCAGTGGGGCAGCAGGAGGCTCTTTGCAGGAAGGCGAAAAGGGCCTCCTGGAGACGCACCTTAAACATGACTCCCTTTTCCCCTCTCTCCCTCCCTCCTCTGTGTGTGTGTGTGTGTGCGCGCACACACACACACACACACGCACGCTCCTGTGCTCACTTGTGCTCTTGGCAGGTCTTGATGGTGGAGGGGGCCTCTGGAGACATTGAGTGGGAGGTGGAGCTGCTCTCCCAAGAGGACAATCCCAGGGCGGCCACTTTGGCGACAGCCGATCACAGATCGGCCTTCCTTTTCTGGGGTCTTTATCCTGAGAACACGAATGGAACGGTGAGTAGACAACACTAAGGCTCTGCCGTGGTCTTGGTGGGTCTCACTGGCATGGCTGTTTGCCTTTTTAAAATCCATGTACAACCTGTGAATTCACATTTTAAGGCCCCAGTTTTGAGTGCTGGGGAAGAACCCCTCTCGCCCTCCCACCCCATCCTCGGGCACTCAGCCTGAGTCCAGTTGACCTTTCCCTCCTTCCAGGGGTCCTCTGAAGAGCCCCGCCCGTGGCAACCCCAGAAGCTCTACCTCTTCCACCCCTCTCTCCCCAACGTCCTTTTGGAGATGAGCAACAGCTCCGAAGCCATTGTGGCCTTTGAGGGTAAGGGCGCTTCCCTTGCTTGACCCCCTCCCTCCCTCCCTCCGCCCTGCCTTGCCTCTCTGCCACCCCCTCTTCTTCTTCCTTCTCCTTTCTGTGCTCCAGGGGTGCTCTTTGAGCACAGCCGCCATGCCTGCTACGTGCTGCTGACGGGGCCGCAAGCGGGCAGCCCTCCCGGGAACGTGGGCCTCTTGAAGCGGAAGCTGAAGGAGGACGTGGCCAGCAGCCGCGTGATCTGGCTCAGCCGGCTGGCCCAGGACTCTGACCAGAACATCCGTGACCGTTTCTACCGGATGAGATACCGCAGCCTCCGCTGAACTCTGGCCAGGAGACCAGGAGGACTCAGGCGGAGCCTCTCCCCCAAGCTGCCGCTGGGGTGGCCTCCATCCCCAGGTGTGGGAAAGGGGACAGAGGTGGAGTTGTCTGGGGGTGTGTGAGCAAAGTTTGGGGCTGCGCAGGTGGGCCTTCCTTGGCGCCGGCTGCCTTCCCAGCACCTTCCTACCCTCATCCAGGGTGGCAGCTTCTTTTCCAGGATGGTTCCTATCGAGAGTGTATCTATGTGTGTGTGTGTGTGTGTGTTTGCGCCCCTCACCAGGTACATGTTTGTGGCAGGCGAACGCCCTGTCCCTTGACTGACATGAGCAGCGTTGGAGCCTCGTTTCCCCCAACGACCAAAGAGACCTTTTTTGTTGCCAGGTGGGGAGCCCACCTGTGCCCTGTCAGCCCTCCAGCTCAGAGGCCTCAGAAAAGTTCTGTCTCCTTCCTCGACCCCCCTCCCCATCGCTGCCGCTTCCCAATGCCAGCTTTGCAAGCAGGGGTCCGGCCGCAGCCTCTCGCTTCACCTGAGTGGCCCTTTCAGAGAGGCCGGCAGCCGGAGGAGCGCCTGGGTGGACGCAGGGGCCTGGCTCTGCCGAGCCACTCTGCTGGAGGACAGGGCCCCGCGCACGCGCGCTCCTGGGGTGGCCTCCCGCCAGCCTAGGACAAACCGCATCGGCGAGGGTCTCCTGGGGCCCCAGCCGAGCTGCTTCCTCTGCCTGGCCTCCTCTTCCTGCTCCGAGCCCTTCAAGGAGCAGCCTTTTCCTCGGGGCTCCTGCGGGGTGGGGGTGATGGGGGCTCACAGACGCAGGTGGGGCTTTGCAACGGTAACAAACTGCCGCTGGGGTCTGGCCGCCACCACCGCCACTGCAGTGGGTTGAATAAATCTTACTTGTGATCCACAGTTTCTCTGCTCTCCCAGTCCCACCATTACTTAGCAGGAGGGGGGCAGGCACTGGCGTGACATGAGGCAGGAGTTGGTCTTGAGGAAGAGAAATGAGTGGGAAGAAGGTGCGGGCAGGGCCAGGGAGGGCTGGCTCTAACTCACAGCAACGAGTCCCTGGAGGAGGACACTTCACCACAGGCATGTACGTCAGAGGGAAATGAAAGTGGACTTTCCAATCCATTTGCTTTGGGCATCCTGCCTGGTTTTGCTAGGCGAGTGGGGGGGGGGCAACCCAGTGGCTTCAGAGGTGTTTTTTTCCCGTGCCTGACCCATGAGCCCCTCTCTTGATCCCTGGGGCTGTGGATAACAGCCACATTGAAAAGGCAGGCTCCCCAGCGTGGCATGAGATGGGGTTGCCACCGGTAGGGGCTCCTTGCCAGCGCTGCTGCAGAGACTATGGTGTGCCCTTGAGGTTGCAGTGCCCCCCTTCACCCAAAAGGGCTTTCCAGCCATCTGTTTGGGAGCAGCAGCCAGAGAAAGTTGGATTAGCAGAGGGGAGGGTGAAGGCAGCAGGGGATGGGGAATTAGGGGAAGGAAGGGAAGGAAGGAAGAAAGAGGGTGCCAGACTGAGATGGTCAGCCAGGCCAAGGTTTGAAGGGCTCCGCTTAGACTCTCCTCGGACCCTGTGAAGAAAAGCCACCAGGGGGGTGGGGGCTGGATGAGCCCCATCACCTTTTCCCTGGAGGGCTAGGGAGGCACTCCCTGTCTTTTCAGGACAGTGAGGCTAAAAATGTGTTTTCCTGCCTGGGTTTCCTTTCCAGCCACTAATCCTCTTAAAGTGCAGCTTTCAAATATGTGGGTATGGGTGTGGGGTGGTGGTGGTGGAAAGATTTGCAGATGATCCGAGAGTATCTTCTCTCAGTAATGGATGTTCCCTTCAAGTGGGGCAGGGGAGGAAGCCCTCACAAAAAACAGAGGAGGCCCACCTGGTCCCAGTGGCTGTGCTTCTGCTCCTCGCACCTCCCGTCCAGGGCTCAGCGAGAAGGGGAACC